AGAGAGAGAGAGAGAGAAACAGGACTATTTTTGTTTCCCCATTTTGTGGTAATTAAAATTCAAAGAGAAAAAGTTCGATCGCGGTAATTAATAATTATCGACTTTTTGTAGCCGAAGAACTTTTTCACCGACACTCAACTGCCGCTTTATGAAGAAGAACAAGTCGCTGAGAGTTGCTGAGAGTTAAAACAGGTATCTGAGAGATCTCGCCGCCAGTTCGGCCGTCTCGGCGGCTCTTGAGGGAACCACGGCGCACGTCCCCCGAGATTCCGCCGGCGATCGTCAGGCGATCGTGTTGTTGTCCAGCTCGGCGAACTCGCGCGTCACCTTGCAGACGTAGTAGAGACGCTCGTAGAGATCCGGGGTGCAGCCGAAGTCACGCAGGTCGTTCAGCCAATAGGAGGACGCGTGTCGGCCGGTGTCGATGTAAGTGATCAGGTAGCCCCTTCCCCCCGCGGACTCCTGCGACACCACCATCTTCGTGTGGTCCACGAAGAAGTTCACTTGCAGGAGGGGTACCGTTAGCTCCATCACGATGGCCTTGTCCGTACGCAGCCACCGTCTCATTCGTGGCACGCAAGCGTTTTTCGACTGTCGCGGTGGCGCGCGATATTTTTTCAGTTCACCACCTAGACAACGGCATATATATTGTACATTAATATTAAAAAGGGAGGGTGTGCGTCACGACCACAAATCAGCCGTTCGTTAATTATTATTTTTGCGAAAAATATCACCTCAGCCAGAAATCCATGGATTTCCTACTTATCGAACAGGTATCTTATCCTTTCGAGGCATGTGATGATATTTATCACAATAACGTGTTTAGAACAACACATTAAACAATTCAATGTCACACACACACACACACACACACACACACACACACACACATTACAATAGCATATATACACATGTATATTCTCGAGTCCTCACGACCGGTTTCCCACAATTATTTTCTTCATTGCGTCATTAACATCTTGGATCGCGTTATAATACAAATAGTGATACGCAAAGGAAAAAGATATTCGAGCTATAAACGAGCTTCGCGAAGATGGATCTTTTTTTCTCTCTTAACAGAACGGAAGCTCTGCGCGTATGGTGTAGATGTCGAGACAAAATTCGGACTCACCCTCTGTCAAAAAGTCGTCCATGTATTCGGTAAAATGACGAAGTAACTCGAGCTTCTTCTGCAACGGAGCCGGCACGTCCCTCTCTCGATGGTACCGCGTCATCTCGTCGTCGGTCGTCATGTACTCCACTCTTCTGTATTCAACACCACACAATTTAATTCACAATTTAATCGATTGCGATTGCAATTTTACGCCGGGAAAAAAGTTGCACGTATCGTTTCTCGTTAATATTCTCGATATATACTCTACCTCCTATCGTGAGTGTAGCTAATTTTCGTGTTGTCGTTGAAGAGAACGCCGACCGACCTGTCGGAAAGTTGGAAGCCCAGCCCGTACTTGTTTGAGTAATCGATCCACTTGGTGACAAAGAGGGGCACGATGTCCTCCACGGTCGGTGGATTGCACGCGTTATTCCGCTTCATTTCCGGCACGCACGCCTCCAGCGCGCGATGCATCTGCACGCTCTGCGCCACGAGGCCGGTCTTCTTGTGATCCGGGCAGAGCACGCTGCTGAGCCGCTGCCGGAATCGCGGTAGCTTGGGCAGCTTCCTGACGAGCCAGCTGGAGACCTTGGACTCCTTCTGCAGGCTCTTCTGCGAGCGATTCAGCAGGTGTTGCTGGTGCTGCGACTGTTGCTGCTGCTGCTGCTGCTGTTGCTGATGCTGCGCTTGCTGAGTCTGCATCGGTTGTTGCTGATAACGCAGCGACGCGTCGGGATAAACAAAGCTCTGCTGCCATATCTGAAATTTCAATTTACGTGGAGATCTGCCAGCTTGGACTTGTCAAAGATCCTTCAGGCGAATCATCGTCCGAACGCCTCACCTGCGCTTTAACCTCTGGATTCCTGGCGACCGTCGACATCGAGGACGGCGACGAGGGTGGCTCGATGATCGACGCCGGCGGCATTTGGTAGCAGCAAGTGTGCGGTAGAGACGCGGGCACGTATTCCTTGGTGAGGTAGGCGTGCTCCTTCACCCTCTCCAGACTCGGTCGCAGCTCGGGGTTGGATTGCAGCAGCCACCTGATCAGATCCTGGCCGCTCTTGCTCGCGATGCTGTCGTCGACCTCGCGATAATGATTGTTGCAGATCCTCGCGTAGGTCTCCTTGAGCGTGGCCGTGTCGAAGGGTGGCTGCCCCACCAGCAGGGCGTACAGTATGCAGCCCAACGCCCAAACATCCGCCTCGTAGCTGTACGCCTGCTTGTACAGCACTTCCGGAGCGATGTAGTTCGGCGTGCCGCATATCGTCCTGCGGATATAAATCGACTGCACGCTAATTGCGACGCCAATGCGACGTTTTTTTGTTAATGCCGCTGGTAGCTGTTTATGTTTAAACGAGCGCATCCGTCAGCGCACTAACAATCGTTTCAGAAACGCCGGAAAAGGGGTCTCGTTGTTCCGGTGTTTGTACGTTTTTCGTCGGATATAAACGAAAACGGCCCGATACAGAGACAGCGCGATAACAAATGGGGGCTGTAAGATGTCCAACTATGTTTGTGTTTTCCGTAGGTTTGGATAGTAACTAGTTCAAAAGTTAAAAATTAACTAATGATAATGTTAAAAAGTTAATAACTTTTAACTTAACTTGATTAATGTTATGTAATGAATTAATTTATAACTTCAACTACTTATTTTTAAAACACATAAATTTTAACATATTAACATATTAACATATTAACATATTAACATATTATATAGGTTAAAAATTTACCCATGTAGAAGAAAAAAAATTGTAAAAGAAAAAACGCATTCCGATATGAAAAAAAAAAAACAAACAATACTTTTTTGTTATTTCATGGAAACTTAATTACAAATAAAATATTAAATTTTTTCCATATTGCAATTATTTTTTTATTTCAAATATTTTAATTTTAAAAAATTACATACATTTTAATAATAATGCTGTAAAGTTAATTTTTAATTTAACATAATAATTTAATTTTAACGCAACTTTTGACTCAACTTTTTTGCTCATGTAACTATCAACGCAATAAAATTAATTTTACAAGCCATTGACTTTAACTTAATTTAGTTAAAAAATAATATTAATTTACTCTCAACTCTGGTTTTCCGCCACGTCGTTGTCGTATCGGGCTTCCCGCTTTTCATTTTTTTAAATTTTACAAATAATTTGTAAAATTATTATTATTATTATTATTATTATTGTATTTATTATTGTTATTATTATTATTGTAATTTAGATTTGCAAATTAAACAAATAAATTCCGAACGCGGGGGAGAAACATGTTTACTGTGTCGTAAAAAACTAAACTTCCTTCCTTACACTCGTCTACGCTGGCCATCGGGCCTGGTTGCCAGGCCGAAATCACCGATCTTGACGATCATCCGGTCCGACAGGAACATGTTGCCCGGCTTCAGGTCCCGGTGAACGACTTTCTGCGAGTGGATGTACGCGACGCCGGTCACCATTTGCTTCATGTAGTAACGAGCTTCCGGTTCCGTGACTTTGCCACGGTACTTCAGCACGTGCATCAAGCTCTGCCGAGGAAGAAGAAGAGAAGATGGTATTTCTTATATTCCGGCTTGCTTACTTCGCGCATTTGGTGACGTGCAGAAAGTCGCTTGACAAAAGAATGGCGAATGATAAAGCATAAAGCGAGAACTAAAATATGAGGTTTTCTTTTTATTTGGCTTTACATTCTTCAGATCCTCGTTCACGTTCTCCTTGTGTCCGCGATATATAATCTTCGAGGAGTGTTGCGATAATAAATTGTTGTAAAATGCGCACTTACGAAATCTGCAGCGAAATCCAATATAAAAAAAAAAAAAATAACTGTATATTATAGAAAAATGTGGCAAGGGCCACCTGTAGCTCCTCTTTTTAAGAGGAGAACAAACAAATCGAGAAGAAAGCGTTTCCTGACAGGAAGACGATCTTTAAATGCGTGAAATGCACGTGGAGCTTTCGAAGATTGAATTGTATTGTATATAATTTTGCACGAGGTGTGCGTGTTGCTTCATTCTTTTCATTTCCAAAAGAATCGTCCTATCTGCGGATAAGGATATCTCCGGTAGAGATATAAATGCGTTCGCATTTTTCACGCCGTTTACGGATAAGCCCCTCGCGACTTACGTTATTTCTCAGCAAAACAAATCCAATTATTTTACGAGGCTGTTCTTGAACGCGACGAAGAAGCGTATAAAAAGTTTTTCTCCTTTTAACGAGATACAAGGTTTTTAGTGATCCGAATCCTTTTTTTACCTTTTTTTCAGCGTTTCAACGCGTCCCCTTTTATTACGCATTATCGCCGCTTTTGCTAGATTCGCGTTTTACGTTCCTTTGAGAAATATCTAATGGGGGGGGGGGGATTTTTCTCTCTTGTCATTTAAGTTCGAGTCGATCCTCTCGTGATCGAATCGGCGGACGAAGGGAAGATTCGCTCGCGATGGCGATTGAGAGGCGGGAGAGCGAGGATAATCAAACGATTAGCGGACGCTTCGTCGCATCCTAACGGTACAAACAGGTCGGCGGATCAGCCATGAAGAGTGCAAGTGCCGCTCTCTTTCCGGCGAGATGAAAATCGCGCGGCCGTTGCGGCCGCTCGCAGACAGCCGCCACAGGGGATGGATCCGTAATTGTTTCTCGGGGGGGGGGGTACGGCGTGCAGAATGAAACTTGGATGACACGTCGATTTAAGTCGCGCAGGGGTGTGGCAGGCGGCGAAATAGAGAACTTGGACTTGGAAACTTGGAAAACAACTTTACGAGGGGGCATGACGGACGGAGACGTTAAAGAACGCGCGAGCGGGACCCTTCCCTCCCCCCCCCCTCCTCCCGGACCGGGAGGGGTAAAACGAAGGGAACGGCGCGCGATTACTGCCGCTCCGACACATAATGTCAATATATGTCAGCGGTTTAAGTAATTCACGGGACGACGGACCGAGCACGTCGGCCCCCCCGCCCGACGACGTGGACGCCGCTTGTAAAGGTGGCGGAGGAGGGGGGGGGTTGGCAGCGTTTGCGAAATTTTTATTCGTCACGCGAACCCGCGTGGTAGGAAAGAATAAACTGGGTAAAGGCAACAGGCAGGAGAGAGAGAGAGAGACACACGATACCTTTCGCGGGCAGGCCTCTAGGAGCATGTACACGTTGAGATTGTCCTCGAAGTAGTGATGCATCTGGACGACGTTCACGTGATTCAGCTCTTTGTGGATCATGATCTCACGCGCGATCTACGGAGACAGCGTAAACAGCGCGTTATTCAGCGAAATAAATATAGGTATGCGCGCGCGCGCGCGTCTCGCGAGCACGTACCTTCTGCATGTGGATCCTCTGCATCCGATTCTTCGGGATGATCTTGCAGGCGTATTGGTTCCCGTTGCTGACGTCGGTCATCAGGTAGACTCTCGCGAAGCCACCCTGAAATGTGAAAAAAAAAAAAAACGAACCGTTGCGTCAATCCGCAGGATTGAGCGCTCGGGAAGAAATTTCAGACAATAATCCTCATCTTCCCGACGACTTTATGACTATACTCCTATGATGATTGTGGAGGAAGGAATAAAAGGCGCGTCCTTCTTTCTAGAGTCCTAGAAATCTCAAACTCCCAATCCCAAGAATTTCTCCTGCGATCATCCGTCGCAGTGAAAGGTTTCTCTCCGCGGCCGCTTTCGGTCTTAAAGTAAAATCTTCTGAAATTATCGTTTATTACCTCTGCAACAGTCGGAGGAATGAAAGAAGAAAGTGAAGGGAATTTTCTTTTTTATGGGGACGCTATTCTTCGCGGCTTTTGATAATCACGGGAGCGACGCGACGCGTGACACAGAAATAAAAGAGAAGCTAATGGCTAATGGCAATTTTTTTTAATCCTGTAACAATTTAGATGTAGAACGCATTGTTAAAATCGGTATAGAGTGCGTTCACCCTATCCCCCCTTCCCCCTCCCCCTCCGATCCCTTTCCATTTTTCGACAAACGCAAGATCCATCCGAGAACGAAAAAAATCGCAAATTCGAAGCGGCACCGAAATTTTTCCGAAATAGCTCTTCAGGCTAACTGGCGCGAGAACGAACGGGAAACGTCTCTCTCTCTCTCTACGAAGATCGACGAACACGACGTACGATCGCGATCTCACGCGATCGCGATGGAAAAGGGTGTCCGGGGGCGGGCGTAGTGCCAGAATAACTCGGGCGAAAATACACCAGCGTGGAGTGTTACGAGAGCGCGTAACACGCGTGTACGCGACAATAGCGTCACGCAATTGGAATTATCCCGCGTGTTCGTATTATATTTTCT